AGAATAGCATTTACTAAGAGGCTAGTCTGGGTGTGGAACATGTAATAGCTAGAACGAAAAAACCGCCGCCGCAGGGGTTTGCGTCGGACACCAGGATGAAGGTGTGGGCCCCGGCCCGGGTGGGGGCGATGAGTAGGGGATTTGTTAATTTCATTAATATTCAGCTCCAGGGGTATATTAAGATGCAGTCTGAAATGAGACCCTCGGTGATCTGAGTGTGGGAGGAGTTGCTGCTCGTCATGCAGTTTGAGTGAAGCATCTGTTCCACTCCCAAGCACACAGAATAAAGAGTTACGTGATTTCTGTCTTTCTCTCTTAAATTCTCGATTGAACAAGACACCACAATAGAGCAATGAGGTTCTCTGAAGTCGTGTTTCATTTGCTGCCGGGTGAGGGGGTGGGAGGGGGGTAGCAAATGAAGAAACACAAGCACCAGGCATCTATCCATTCAAAAGATCCTAATGGACATTTCTGGAAGGAGAAAACCACAGCCACAAATACACACACACACACACACACACACACACACACACACACACACACTGACCTTCTCCCCTCCTCCACCCACACAACCTGAAATCTTCTTACTTTTCAAGTAACTCTGAAGATATATCTTTTGGTTACAGGTGAGAAATAAAAACTCAGGGTATTTGGAGTGGGGTGTGGGAAGGTGGGGGTGTGTGTGTGTGAGGGAATAACAGGCTTTTAAAATCCCAAGTGAATTCTTTGGGATGAAGACAAAACTGGACTTTTTTTTTTTTGACACATTTGTCTATAAAGCCAGCCCCACTTCAATGTGCAAGGCAGAAAGCTAACCAGATTTTTCTGGGCTGCCTTCTCATAAAATATTTACAACCCAGCAAATACAAAAATCCCCAAAGCCCCCAGCTTTCCCCAGAAGCCAGTAAAATGTGGGTCAATTTCAATAGTAAGTGTCACTGGGTCCCCGGTTGGACCCTCACTGCAAGTCCAGATGTGGCCCCAGGGCACCAGGTCTGGAGCCTCGGCCACACCCAGTCCTCACTCGGGGCGACCAGAGGGCTGGCTGCCTCACTCTCATACACAAGTCCGGACCTGAGGGGAGTGGCGGGAAGGGTTAGAGAGGTGAAAAGGGAAACGCTCCTGGAGGCAGCTGATTTATAGAAGCCAAGACCTTCAAAAATACCAGGGTCACGTGAAAATCAGTGGGAATTCAGCGCACTTTCTTCTCCTCCTTTAAAGAAACCCATGTCTGACGATGCTCAGCCACCACCCAGATCTCTGGATCTATGGCCTTAGGCTTCACTTTACTGCCTCTCATATTTCTCCCCAAACCAAGGATGTGGTGAGAGGGACAAACCTAAGACACTTCCTGCACCAGCTAAATGTTCTGAGGGCTGGCTGACATGTTTTTCACCCTTACTTTATCCACAAGCACAGAACAGTTCCCATTCTACAGATGGGGAAACTCAAGGCTTGGAGACATTAAGTTCATTACCAAAGGCTGAGAACTAGTAGTCAGTGGTGAGGTTGAAATCCAACCCTAGGTCTATTTAATTCCAAAGTGGAAACATTTAGCCCAAACATGTCAAACTCGCAGCTCCGGGGGTTGAATACCTCGTTTATTTAGCCGTTGTTAGCCTTTGAGTTTGACATGCTTGATTTAGAACCTAAGCTTCATTGCCCCATTGCCTCCCCATTATAGTCCAGGTACAAGGATCTCAAAGCAACCAGTAGTTTCCAGGGTATAAGAGATGTGATATAATCCAAACTGTATTTGCAGGGCTTGCTAGGATAAAAGCCATGTCCGCTGACATAATTCTTAGGAGAGTTTGTCAATGACCGGAGAACGTTAGGCAGGTATAAAGGATGATTTATTTCTCTCTAGTGCAATATGGAGAGATCAGCCTGCTTCTGTTTGCATTTTTTTTTTAAGTGTGGGCTAATCAATGGCTAGCCTGCATTTCTCTGGTCCTCAGAAGTGGTCAGAACAGGAGAAAGTATCTACAGAGAGAGATTCTGCAACCAGGGGCACTCAGTCTTTCCAGGGCATGGGAAAGAGTACAGATGAGGGCTTCCGCCTGCATCCTGCTCCTGCTCCTCCCACGCCAGCTCCATTCCATGTCTGACGGACTTCACCTGCATGTGGGCACCCGCACCCACAGGTGCAAGCTCCCAGGCTACAGGTGCGCACATCGGAGCTGTGATACACTCTTATGAGGACAGGTTTGATGGAGACGCTCTCCAACACCTCGAGGAGGGCTCACGCTAGATGGGTAGCGCAGCAGCAGCCGGAATCTACGGGGTGGGAGAGGCCCCGGAGCTAGGGTCGTGGCCGCCACGCCTCGACATTTGGACACCCGTACGCGGAAGGCGTCGGCCTTGGCTGCCTTCGCCGGCCGGGGCCGCGGGCGCACGGCCTTCGCCAGCCGCCACGGCAAGCGGCACTGCAAGAAGTCGAGGCTGCGCTGCAGCAAGAAGCCCCTGCACGTGAACTTCAAAGAGCTGGGCTGGGACGACTGGATTATCGCGCCCCTGGAGTACGAGGCCTACCACTGCGAGGGCGTGTGCGACTTCCCGCTGCGCTCGCACCTGGAGCCCACCAACCACGCCATCATCCAGACGCTGATGAACTCCATGGACCCCGGCTCCACGCCGCCCAGCTGCTGCGTGCCCACCAAATTGACTCCCATCAGCATCCTGTACATCGACGCGGGCAATAACGTGGTGTACAAGCAGTACGAAGACATGGTGGTGGAGTCGTGCGGCTGCAGGTAGCGGCGCCGGTCCCGCCGCCGTGGCCCGTGACCGCAGGGGAGGCCTGACCGCCGCGTCGGGAGAGGAGCTGGCCTGGGAGCAGAGGGGAGGGAGCAGCAGCCTGGACATGCAGCAGCCGGAGGGGCGAGGAGGGAGCCCGGCCTTCCCGGAACCTTTCACCTGCCAGCCCAGAGGGAGAGGCGCGTTTTCACACCCCGCCTGGCCGCCCTGGAAAAAACAAGCCAAGGACGATGGATGTCTGTCTGTCGTTTTTTTAAATCTTTGTGATCGTGGCTTTGGATTTCCTGGTGTGTCTCACAGGGTTTGGTAGGAGGTGGGGGAGGGGAGACACGTACCTGTTTCTCAACTGCTTCGTGGATTGGAGAGAGAGAGGGAGAGAAAAAAATAATTTAAGAAGAGAAACAGTGTGGGAGGGAGAATCACCTCTGACCACGTCTTGGTTTGATTGTTTTCTTCCTGGGTAAGGAAGGGGTGTCTTCCCGCCACGTCCTGGCCCATGCCCCGTGACCTCCCACACAGAGCGTGTTAAAGTAGAGGAATTGGCACCAGGAAGAGGAAAGCCGAGAAAGGCCTTAGAGGAGCACTGAGAGCGGAGGGGCCAGGTGGGCCTTTTTCATGGAGCACCCGGCTCTGCCCTGGCCTCCCCCGGCATAGGGAACTGGCAACCTGCATCTCACTCCAGGGGCGCAGGTCACACTGCCTTTACAGTTGCCTTTCCTGGTGGGGAAAGGGGAGCTGGTATGGATGGAATGACAGGAATGAGTCCAAGTGGAACCCCCTGAGGATAGTGAGAAACCGCAAGGCCTGCCTGTGAAGCCTGACACTCAGGTGCATGAGCCCTGGCTGGAGGTAACCTAGGACAAGCCCCTCCTGGTGTCAGTTTCTCATTGATTTCTTTGAACAGAATTGGCCAAAATTCAGACATCTGCTTTTAAGGGGAAGGCAATTTCCCAGTTAAACAAACAAACAAACAAAAAATGGGTAGGGCTGGGGAACTATATAGCTAAGGGAAGAGGTGCAGAGGGAAAAGGACCCCAGAAACAGAAGGGTGAGGTGGTGGGTCCCCGAGGAGGATGGGGAGGCCGGGAGCAGAGAAGGGAAGGATGAAAGGGGATCCAAGTCCCTGTCTCCCAAGTTTCTTTAAAATCTGTGTTTCTTCCTCTCCGTCTGTGACATTCCTGAAAGATTACCAGCCAGCAATAGCCCAGGGCTCCCCTCCAAAGAATTGTTTCAGATTGTAATTACCAGTTAGGCAATGTTTTTAAAGCTTTGTAATGAGAAACTGTGAAAAGAGCAAAGTGTTACATTGAGCTTGGGGTGGGAGATGGGAGACCTGGCAGTGAGGAAGGAGGCAGGGGGTGGAATTCATCTTCAGGAAGGAAGCAGGAGAGAGCACAGAGCAATTGGAATGCCCACTCCCAGATCGTCAAAAACATGAACTTCCCCCCAGCCTGCACCAGTATTATTTCCAAACATCGCCCATAAGTAGGCCCTTTGAAAAGTTTGCTTCCTCCTCGTCTTTGACCATGAAATGGTTTAAACAAGGGAACTTACACCAATCATGACAAACATTTTGTTTTTCCAAAGTGGTTTTGCTCTCTCTGGATCTAAACCTGTTGCTTGTTTGGTTCAGAGAACTACATGTCAAAGAAAGGATGAGAATGATAGTAAATGCTAATATAAAATGCTGAGAGGAAAAAAAAAGAGTTGGCCAGGAGAAATAATTTAAAATGCACATTTGCTTTGGATGCACTGTTGTTCTGTTAAAGACTGTATATATTTGTTTATTTAAGGTGACTGGAAATGCAAAGAGGAAATGGACAGCATGCAATTCATCTTAATGTACAAAACGTTATATGCACTCAAATGTTATAATTTCTAATATTTTTAAAGTTTATATTCGAGTTGTACAAAGTTAAACATTAATCAGATATTTCATTCTTTCTTAATGTTATCATTTTCTTAAATATTATTACAAAAATTTTTAAGTCTGTCTAATGGAGAGTTTTTTTTTTTTTAACTGTCTACCTCACTATAATACAAGTATTTACAACACTAAATTTACCGGAGGTCAATTTAATATTCAAAACATTTTTTACAGTATACTTTTCCTGGGTGATACTCAAATCTAATACTGTATTATTAAACTCATTTTCCCCCTTAAAAACTCAGCCTGGTTTATATGAATCTACGTAGAAAAATTACTTTGTCAAGGAATAGTTGTCAGTGGTATTTTGTTCCAGTATGAGACTGAATGTCTGAAAAGACACTGGTTACTTTAAAAGCCATAATTTAGGGAATGACACTTTTGCTTCATAACTCTTCCATAACTCTCTTTTCATGAAATGTTCATTCACCAAATCCCTCTCAGCTATTAGAACAGTGTTTATAGGCCTTTGCCCCATTTCAGCATCTCAAGAGCCCACATAGGAATTAGATTATTTCTTGGTTTCTTTAATGTTGAAAAAAGAAAGCTGTAAATTACCTAGGCCAACCGAGATGTCGGTAATTACTATTTACACTTATGGCCCATTGGAAGCAGAAGATATGAAATGTTTTTCTTTTTGTTCACTTGCTGTAAATCAGGGAACCCATGTACAAGAGTAAGTCCAAGTGCTTACCACATGATGAAAATACTGTTGCCCATGCATCATCTCATTTAAACCCTCCAGAAACCCAGTGAGGTAGGCGTTATGATAATTCCCGCTTTACGGATGAGGAAATAGGTGCAGGGTTTAATTAACCGGCCATGGTCATCCAGCCAGGAAGTAGTAGCTAAGATTTAAACCTAGTTCTTTCACACCCTAGAGCTCAAGGAGTTAACCTCTAAATAATTGTGCCCACAGATGATCTATCTGCTCTGTAATTGGTCCCTAAATGTCAGTGTGAGAAATTTGCAATGAGCCACGATGACAGGGCAGCCAGCTGGTGGAGGAGAAGCTACCACAGTGGCCTCCAGCATGGTCTGTGGTTTTGGAATATATGAGTTGTGGCTGCTGGGATAGTTGTGTATGGATTGCAAAACTCCGTGAGTTCTTAGCTTCAGGCTTGCCTTGAGAAACCTATAGTTTAGGTCATTGATGAGTTTCTGTGTATTCTCTAGAGCAGTGGTTCTCAACCTTCTGGCCCTTTAAATACAGTTCCTCTTGTTGTGACCCAACCATAAAATTATTTTCGTTGCTACTTCATAACTGTAATGTTGCTACTGTTATGAATCGTCATGTAAATATCTGATATGCAGGATGGTCTTAGGCGACCCCTGTGAAAGGGTCATTCGACCGCCAAAGGGGTCGCGACTCACAGGTTGAGAACCGCTGCTCTAGAGGTTTCTGAAACTGCCTTGGGTGTGGGTTTTGTGTTTTGATAGTCAGAATAATGGTCAATTTACAAATAGGTCATATTTCAATAGCCTAGTTGTAAGTGGGCTGTTTATAGCTGAGAAACATTTTCCTATGGAAACAATGCTCATTTGCATTTTCAGGTCATTTTTTTTTTTTAACCCAAATGGACTTTTTTAACAAAGCAATTTTGACTTCTTCTGGATTTGGGAAACAGATAATCATTGGGAAAACAAAAAAAGAGGTCTTTCTCTTTCCTGAATGGAGAAATTCTTTGCATTTTTGCACCACTCTTTCTGTACCACTCACCCAATTTCCCCATCCTCAAAACTGCCGGGAAGACTCCCAGCCCTGCACCTTAATATGTCCTCAATCTAGAGATTACCCTTTCTGTAAACATTTCTATCTCCAAAGTTGTTTTCTTCTCTTCCCTCCATCAAAACTTTATTCCTTAACTCAGATGTAGGAGAAACACAATTTAATTGAAATACATGAAGATGTAAATATCTCTTAGCTCCTCAACATTTGCATTTTAAGAAAACAATCATGGTTAACTCAGATTACTTGTGAGTGATGTGAAAAAAATTAGACAATCTAGGAGAAGATAACACTCAAACTGCACACAATTTTGAGAATTGTAGGAGAGCTAGGCATTGATGATACAAGGATGAATGGAGACCCCCATCAATATGATTATTTTGGTGTCCCTTAGTGGACATTTTGTGCTTTGAAGTGACTAGCTAACTTGTTTTAACATTAATATGCAGCGTATAAAAGTAAAAGATTTAATAACTTAGTTTTTTCTAAATCTCTGAAGTTTAATGAATGAGGCCCCATAAATATATTTTTCTTGTCCTTGTTTTGTTTAGTGCTCTATTCCTAGCATCTTCTGCACAATAGTGCCCAACACATAGCAAACACTCAATAAATGTAATAAATAATTAGAAATATGTTTTTTTTTACTTATAAGGTACCTAGGAATAAACCTATAGTTGAAAGACCTATAGTTGGAAAACTATAGGATACTGAAGAAAAATAGAGTAAGATACAAACAAGTGGAACCATATACCGTGTTCATGGATTGGAAGAATTAATATCATTAAAATGTCCTTACTACCCAAAGCAATCTGTAGATTCAATGCACTTCATATTAAAATACCAATGCCATATTTCACAGATCTAGAAAAAATATTTTAAAAAAATTACATGGAACCAAAAAGACCCTTATAGCCTCAGCCATTGTAATCAAGACAGCCTGGTACTATGTCAGGAACAGCCATATAGATCAATGGAACAGAACAGAGATCCCAGAAATTGACCCACACATTTATGGTCAATCAGTATATGACAAAGGAGGCAAGAGCATACAATGGAGTAAGCATAGTCTCTTCAATAACTGGTGTTGGGAAAATGCAAAAAAATGAAATGAGACCACCAGCTTACACCATACACAAAAATAAAGTCAAACTGGATAAAAGACTTAAATGTGAGTTGTGAAACCATAAAAGCCCTGGAAGAAAAGATAGGCAGTAAAACCTCAGACATTTTGCCGAAACCGGTTTGGCTCAGTGGATAGAGCGTCGGCCTGCGGACTGAAAGGTCCCGGGTTCGATTCCGGTCAAGGGCATGTACCTGGGTTGCGGGCACATCCCCAGTGGGAGA